GAAACACCTCTTTCTTTTCATGAAAAATTACTTTTAATGCAAGCACACACAGAAGAATACAAAAAAATAAACCTTGTTCATCTTCATGGTCACTATCACTACTAGTACACAATTCTGGTGTAATGTCATTAGAATTGCTGTCATTGCTTGAACATTCACCCTCCTCGAGTTCGTCTTCGAACTGTTCATCTCTTTTGGCAAGCTTTCGTTTCTTTCCCATATCCTACAAGAGAGATAAATGTGCATATCATGTGCATAGGATAATTACCTAGAGCTTGATGTCTGTATTTGACAATTGATATGTTTGAAAGGCCGTGTACTAATTCATGTATGTCATCCGAAACCTGCAACCAAAATGTATTATTTATTAATTAAGAACAGGTTTATTCAATAATAATTCCAATTTCCACCTTGGTTGCCTTTCTAGTTTTCCGCTGCTTCCTGTTTTGATCATGTGCAGCTCCTTTGTCCACAGTCACTTGACTATGGAAGTGATACATATTACTAGCTTTATCATAATAGTAATATGCACCAGTGTTCCCATTGTAATATAATCCTTGTTTCTGTGAGAACACATTCTCATAAGCAAAAACAATCATCAAATCAAAATTAATAATCAATATCTATATAAATGTACAGGAATTATAACAAGACATACTGCATCGTAATAATAACCACTGTTGTAATCGTAAAATAAACCAGATGTTTCTTCATAAACGAAACGAGTTTGTTGTTCAACAGCTTCTGCAACTTCTGTTACTTGTTCTTTAATAGTGCTGAAAGTTTTGTCATTGCTTATATTCCAATCTTGAGTAAGACATAATTCCTTTTCATGTTCCAGAGGATTTGTTTGAGTTCCATAATCGACCAGGATTTTACTTTGCATCAACTGTTTTTTCTATGTGTATAAGGATATGAAATGACATAGAAATAAATAGTGGAATACAAAATCAGAGGAATATCGTCCTTACATGTTGATTGATTTTGTTTCGCAATTTGGCAATCTTCTTATTCTGCTTCTTGATGTGATCACGCATTCTCTGAATAAATCTTAAGACGTGAGGAAAGTTGTACAGCTCTTCCTGGAAATCCTCTTCAAAATCTGACTTTACTTCTCCTTCATCACTCTCACTAGTTGTATTATTCTCTACCATTTTATATCTTTATTTTATATTTCTCTTCACTTTAAGAAATGTGCTTCTTCCTTTTTGATGAGCAATGAGTAACAGCCAACTAGTTTAGAGAGACTATATGAACATGATCAAATAAAAATACAGTCTCCAAAGAACGAAACGGATTTCACGAGCATAAATATGTGACGTTTCGTATCATTACCACCTTCACGTTACTAACACGAATAATCGACATGAAGTTAGTCTGTACAAATTCTTTGAGGCAGAGTACACAAGGAGTACACATACAGCCTCTTGGAGTCGACTAGATAAGATGAAATAGTAATAGATAAGATAAATAGAATAATTCGTGTAATAATACTTGATCTCGGTTCCAATGCAAATGAATCGTAACTAAAATTTGAATTAAAATCCTGGTTAACAACTTGCTACCTTGCAGTTTATCTCAAAGTATTAAATGAATCTTTTCTAAAACCTATCACTCATCTGGTCGATACGAACACATGACAACTTTCTTGATAATGATTAGAGAAAATATTTTAAAGAACAACGATCTTGCGTTTGAGGTTTGAGCCGCAGTTCTGCTGATCAGAGATCATTCTGCCATCTGGAAACAGCTGTTTGTTAACACCCCCTGGCATCATGGCTGCTCCCAGTCTAATGGAATCGTTGTCGGAAATGACATTTGTTGGGTGAAACGCTATCAAACAGTGCCTAAATATTCGTTCGTATGTCAAAACGTAAACACCGTGCCCTCAGCTCGGACGGTACTCTGTGTTTCTCGCTGTCTATCATTCTGAACATGACTTACGCATGATCCTGCATGCGAATGTTCCTCCTACGCTCATCACCTTTCACGTACGGTAACCAGTGTTTTGTTCAAACATTATTCAAAATAATACGCAGAAGGCATTGTCAGGACATGTTACAATGATGCCGATAAAGGATAACCAGGATGTGGCATGCTTTCTGGTCACCAAACATTCATGGAAAGGAAAGTAAGTTACCCTTTTTTTCTAGCTGGTTTTCTTTTCACAAATCCACTCACACGTCTAATAAATACAGAATATATGTTTCAAAGCTAAGAACATGTTTTGTACTCATGTTCATGTCTTATTACATAGTTTTCGACCTTTCTGTAATAGGTACAAACGCATTTTCTCAATCGGATCCATGGGTATAACAACATACAATCCTACTACATTAGAAGTCACAAACAAATGGGAATACTCAGATTTTATAAGCGTTCAGCCAATAAACAGAAATCAATTTGGTTCGTACGAATTTAGTATAACAATGCGCAAGGAACGTAAAGTTGACAATATGAAGTTTAGTTCAGAACACAGAGCTCATTTATTGACTGAAGCTCTAAAGTATAGAAATCAGTTTGTTGAGAAGCCTAAAGAAATTTTGGTAAGTATTCTTATTTAAGCCTTCACAGAACAAAGTTTAATCACGCTTGTTATCAATGTAGCCACATGGTTACTAGGTCATAATATATGTTTCTATAGTTGTTTGTTATCTAATAATACATGAGTCATTTCATATCCACTAATACATGTATCAATCATTGTATCAGAGTACTAGTTTGTCATGCATTGTTCTACATCGCTTCTACTCAAATTTCAATGCTCATATGACTAGTTACAATTTTTCTATAATCGATAAATACTGAGTGAGCTTCTTCAACAATGAATCAGATATAATTTCATTTATATAAAATGCATCTCTAATTAAATAATATTCCTATTTCAGAGATATCAGGCTTATAAGCATCATTGGTCTGATACGAGATTGCCTGTTGTACTAGAAGTAACACCTTATAGTCTTGACCAATTAGACCCAGCAACGAATATGGTGTTGGCCAGTTATTGTTACAAGGATTTCGAAGGAATCCTTACAATGAAAGATTACCCTTATGGATTTGTAATTGTGTGCGGCGGATTTGGACGTTTACATCTTTTCGCTTCTCAGCACATGGAAGAGATTAAGAAAAGGCTGCTGGAATCAGCTATGAACAATTTAGGTATCAGTATAAAAGTGTTGAAGGAACCAATCAAACTAGACGATTTTGTTGCTCAACGATTGGGCAAGTTCAGTGCTGACGAACACATAACGAGCGTGTCAGAGTTCACTGTTCACAAGTATTCATCTAGATATGTAGACCCACAGAGAAGGACACTTTGTCTTTCTGATACCTGTCTACTCGAAAGAGATCCTCAGACATATAACATTTGTACTCTCAGACCGCTGTCAGATATTTTCGCTTTGATCCGTGATAACGAGAATCCACAATTATTTACTATACAATATCTTAATGGGCAAGCACGTAGTTATACGGCGACAGACAGAGATTCCTTGTTAGCTTCCTTACTGGACGGCGTCAGAGCATCTGGTAACAGAGACGTTCACGTAAGAATGTACCCGGTAGCAAGAGGGAAGAGACTTGGTCCTCTTAATTTACCTGTCGACGAAGAAGTTGAAACGTCCCACGTTAAATTCCTCCAGCAACCACCCAATGGACGTACTTTTGCTGAAATTTTGGAAAGATTTAATGCAAACATTCCCTACAGTGGTCTTAATTATTCTGTTACGCAAGATGTAAGATATATTTAATACAATTAATACTGTATGTACATACATATAATATTAAATTTCTACACGAGATGAATCAGTGAATTGGTACAATACATTTAAGCGGTAATGATCCTCCAAATCTAAATTATACGTCTATATTAGAATTTCTTATTTAATTGTTCAGTGCAATTTTTCATACTCTACTTTTATTATATTCTTCGTCTCTCTTTTACTCTCTGAAGCTTTCCTATTGATTTTTTTAATGAAGCTCTGTAAGAATCGTAATGTTAAATTGAAGACATGTTTCTTTTTTTTGTTTAGGATGTTGTACCGCTTGAATGGACTGTAACAACATCACAAGTACAAATGTACCAAATCCTGAATAACTACTTGCAGGGTCTTTTTACCGAGAATAAAGACAAAATTATTCTTGGCGCTTTGAACGCGTTGGTCATTAAAGATTTAGAAACGAACAGTGAAATAGAGGCGCAGTTTCACGCTTTGAGGAGATTGGTCGCTAGCAAAATTGGTTTCACTGCGTTCACAATGCTTCCTGGATTCAGAGAAGCTATAGGGCACAAGGTTGTAAAGGCTTTGAAGCGGCAAGATTGCGGCGTGACGCAAGCTGCCATAGACTGTATTTGCGCTCTCATGCAACCGATGCACGACGATTGCGATTTGAGACAAGAGCAGTTAAATAAAAGTAGTCTTCTCAGTAGTAACAAATTTTTGGAAAGCTTGCTTGATATGTGGATCAATCATATTGTGAGTATAACAGACGCTGGAGTTATATATTTTTTTTAACAATGGCAATGGCTAATAATAATTATTGCCCTGTACTGCAAATACGACACTATCATTCACATAAATATTTCAGAATCATGGCACAGGTGCTCTGGTAGTTTCTGCCATGCTTGATCTTTTAACTTTCGCGCTATGTGTACCATATAGTGAAACGACCGACGGCAAACATTTCGACAATCTTTTAGAAATGGTCGCCGCGAGAGGAAGATCGCTTTTTAAACTGTTCCAACATCCGTCGCTAGCTATTGTTAAAGGTGCCGGACTGATAATGAGAGCAATTATTGAGGAGGGTGCACCGGAAGTCGCGGCGAAGATGCAAGAACTCGCTCTCGCTGAGGGAGCATTGCCAAGGCATCTGTTGAACAGTCTTTTTACCATTGGTACCGACGGTAGATTATTAACGCATAGACAGTTGTGCAGGCATCTTGTAGGACTCTGGGTGACCGGGCATCCGACGGCCATGGGATTGTTGAAAAGGATCATGGTAAGTTAAAATCATTAGTGTAATATGTATGTAATTGCAAGAATGAAAATGTCTAAATACTTTTGCAGCCTATTGGCTTGTTAAATTACTTAGATTCCGATGAGAAGGTACCCGATTCGTTTCTCGAGAAAGAACGATTGAACAATCGGGACAATTTAAAGATAGCCATAGATCACGCGTCGAGGAACAAGAAGAGCCCGCAGTGGATCGCGATCGAGCGTCAGATGCGCGTGGTTGAGAAACACGTCGAACATGCTCTTCAGCACTGGGGTGCCAGGATCGGTATCGAGCGCAAGGAGAAGATCAAGGAGCGGCCGATAGTACTGAGGAAACGTAGAGAACGAATCAAATCGGAAGCGAACTGGAATTTGTTTTATTATAAATTCAATCAAGATCATTCACTGCCGAATTTAATTTGGAATCACAAAACGCGGGAGGAACTAAGAACCGCGCTCGAGAATGAAATCCGCGCTTTCAGTTCGGACAAGGATTTGGCAGGCGGAACTCTGATCGCATGGAATCACAGAGAATTTGAAGTACAGTACCAGTGCCTGTCGGACGAAGTAAAGATCGGCGATTATTACCTGAGGCTCCTGTTGGAAAAAGATAGTCCTGACAGTCCTATAAGAAAATCGTATGTATAATAACATTCGTTTGTTTTCCGTACACCCGTTGACTGATTAATTATTTAAGTATTGTTGTTATAGATACGAATTTTTTAACGACTTATACCATAGATTCATATTAACAACAAAAGTTGAAATGAAGTGCCTTTGCTTGCAAGCAATGACTATAGTGTATGAACGATATTACGAGGATATTGGTCCATTTTCGGATACAAAGTATATTGTAGGAATGCTGGAACGTTGCACTGATAGAATGGAACGCGATAGGCTAGTCATGTTCATAAATAAACTTATATTGCATAGGAGAAACGTGAAAGATATAATGGATCAAAACGGTGTGCGCACTTTGGTCGATCTCCTCACTTTGGCTCATCTGCACACGTCTAGAGCGGTCGTGCCCGCGCAAACGAACGTGATCGAGGCAGATCCGCTGCAGCAACATAGTATGGAGAAGGAATGGTATTATAACGATGGGGACCAGCGAAAAGGCCCTATAAGCTTGAAGGACTTGAAGGAACTGTATCTAACGAATCAAATATCGCACAAGACAAAGGTCTGGGCTCAAGGTTTGGACGGATGGCGAATGATCTCGCAAGTGCCGCAGCTGAAATGGACGCTAGTCGCGAAGGGGACGTCGGTGATAAACGAAAGTGAATTAGCTACATTGATTCTAAATGTTTTAATCAAAATGTGCGAGTATTTCCCGAGTAGGGACGTCGATGACGCGGTAATCAGGCCCCTTCCGCGCATGAAGCGGTTATTATCCGATCTCCAGTGCCTACCCCATATCGTTCAACTTTTATTAACGTTCGACCCGGTTTTAGTTGAAAAGGTAGCTACGTTGTTATGCGAAATAATGCGAGACAACGCGGAGGTCTCCAAGATTTACCTCACTGGCGTTTTTTATTTCATATTAATGTACACTGGCTCGAACGTTTTACCGATAGCGAGATTTTTGCAACTGACTCACACGAAGCAAGCTTTTAGAACCGACGATGTAAGTATTCTCTCTTCTGTTAATTGCACAATGGTTCGACCGCGTTATATACAATTCCTTTGTATCATAGAATGTGTCGTCGGATATAATGCAACGAAGCATACTTGGGCAACTTCTGCCTGACGCGATGGTCAGCTATTTAGAAAATCACGGCGCGGAAAAGTTTGCTCAAATATTTCTCGGTGACTACGACACGCCGGAAGCGATCTGGAACGCTGAGATGAGGAGAATGCTTATCGAGAAGATAGCCACGCATATCGCGGACTTCTCACCGAAATTAAGAAGTCACACTATGGCTCGGTATCAGTACATCGCTATACCCGCTGTAAGGTATCCGCAATTAGAGAAGGAATTGTTCTGTCAGATATTCTATCTGAGACACCTTTGTGATACCGTCAAATTCCCTCAGTGGCCTGTACCTGAACCGGTCAGTCAAAATATTTCGTATAGTTACGCGTTGCGCATTCTTGCTGAACGTAATAATGTTTCATGTTCAGGTACGTTTATTGAAAGACGTGTTAGATGCATGGAAGAAAGAAGTAGAGAAAAAACCACCGCTAATGACGGTCGACGAAGCTTACAAAGTTCTTCAATTAACTAGCGGGAAACAACATAACGAAGCCGAAGTCAGGAAATCATACTATAAACTCGCACAAATGTATCATCCCGACAAAAATCCACAGGGCAGAGTAAGTTTTACTTAAAACTCAATTAACATGTACAGTCCTTCATGGCAATTTTGTCCATAGGATAAGTTCGAGGCTGTCAATCAGGCTTATGAATTTCTATGCAGTCGAAGTTGCTGGTCGACCGACGGTCCGAATCCAGATAACATAGTACTCATTCTAAGAACGCAGAGCATTCTTTTCCATAGATACTCGGAGGAATTGAGACCATACAAATATGCAGGATACCCGCAACTGATTAAAACGATCAAGCTAGAAACAGACGACGAACAGTTGTTCTCGAAATCGGCCCCGTTATTGGCTGCCGCCAGCGAACTCGCGTATCACACCGTGCATTGTTCCGCGTTGAACGCGGAGGAACTGCGCAGAGAAGGAGGATTAGACGTGCTATTAGACGCTTACACGAGATGCGTATCCGTTCTAAACAAATCGAGTAAGCCTACAGACATAGCGGTGCAAGTCTGCATGCATATCACTAGATGTTTCTCGGTCGCCGGCTCGTTCAGAGGCTGCAAAGACAGAATCATTGAACTACCGCAACTAGTTAAAGATCTTTGTAGAATATTACACTTCAAGGTTGGTACACGAAATTTTCATTTCTTTTTATATCGTGTCTGATATTTATTCAATGTAAATATTAATTTCCAAGTAATGAAATCGGTACAATTTGTAATCTATTTATAGCATTTAACAAAGTTATGCTCAGTGGCCACGGAGTGCGTTTCTTCTCTCGCCACAGACAGTGTACTACAAATGCAATTGCTGCAATCCGGTGCACTGTGGCATTTGCTGTTGTTTATGTTTAATTACGACTACACGCTGGAGGAAGGTGGCGTGGAAAGGAATCAGGAGGAGAATCGTCAAGAGGTTGCGAACAACTTGGCGAAACTCGCGGTTCGAGCTTGTGCCAGGCTAGGCGGTTACATGACGGGAGAAGATGAAACGCCTGTTAATCCTGTTACCGTGGCTGCGTTAGAAAGTTTATTGACGCCTTATCTGGCCCGGCAGCTCGCGAAAGATAAGCCAGAAGAGATATTGAAAATCTTAAACTCGAATTGCTCGAATCCGTATCTAATTTGGGATAATGGAACGAGGGCGGAATTGATCGAATATCTGGAAGCTAAACGGCAAGAGAGATTAAACGGGAACGATAATTTCGAACACGATTTCAGCGACTTTAAGTATAGTTCGCATGCAGGCGAACTGATCATTGGAGAAATATTTGTAAAAGTGTACAACGAGCAACCTAATTTCCCCATAGAGGTAATTCAATGTTTTCTAACATTTTTCTAATAAAAATATATTGTTGTTTTTCAACCATTTTGTAGAATCCCAAAAGTTTTACAATCAATTTGCTCGACTTTTTGTCGGAATCATCAAAATATTTGTCGTCGATGATAAACGTGGCGTTAGCTAAGAAAGACCAACAGAAACTGGAACACATCGTTATGACGTTGGAAGGCTTAAGAAATGTGATTAAAAATAATCCAGGGATCGAACTGCAATGCATAGGGCACTTCAGATTACTGTTCGGACTTCTGAATTGCCATAATTTCAAATTGATACAAAAGAACGCGCTCGAAGTTATAAGCAACGTTACGAAGAATCAAGAATGCGTAGACGATATCGCGGCGAACGAAGTTGTAGTATACTTGCTGTTGGCTTTAAATTCTCTGAAGGAGTGTCAGCTACTCACACTAGAAACTTTGTACGCTTTAATGAGCTCGACGAAGATCGTGAAAGATGCACTGGCCAAAGGTACCAATTTTTCACACCTTATATTTTCTTGATTCTATCTTTTAAACGATCGATGATAATTTTAGGAGCTGTTGTATACATTGTCGAACTGTTCTGTAATTCAAGTAATACTCAAGTACGCGAAGCTGCCGCGGAACTGCTCGGCAAAATGTCGTCTGACAAATTGGCCGGACCGAAAGTGAAACTAGATTTGTCGAAATTCCTTCCCAGATTATTCAGCGAAGCTATCAGAGACGCGCCAAAACAGTGCGTTCATATGTTCGAGACGAAACACGAGAACCCTGAACTAATTTGGGATGACGACGCCAAAGCCAAAGTCTCGAGAATTATTGGAGAATTGAAAGATGAGTAAGTAATCAATTCACGAGAGATCTAGTAAATTTAAATTAAACTTGATTACGATTTGTAACTTGTTTTAGATATTACGCGTTGCAAAGACGGAATCCTAACACGGTATTAAAGTTACCTGATACACAAAGTAATATTGATGTTGCCACGAACGAGCCCGTAGTCGGAGGCGTTTATCTCAGACTGTTCATAGCCAGTCCCGCGTGGGCTCTTAGGAAACCTAAAGAATTCTTGAGCGAACTTATGGACACCACGTTAACGCTTATGTCTAGGGATAAAACTGATGTAAGTGTAAAATACGTAATTCTTTTATGCCAAAGAGAATATATTCATTTATTCAATGATACTTTGATCAGCCGGATATGTTGGAATTAACGACACAAGCACTGGTTTCTCTACTCCAAGCACAACCAACGTTAGCGGATCAGGTTCCATCGCTAGGTCACATACCTAGACTCTGCCGACAAATGGCAATGCAAAACAATCAGCCATCTGTGTACAAAACTGCGATACTGATACTTCATCAATTAGCTACGAGCGAGGTAAGTTCGTCAACTTTTAGTGGAACATCGCGAAATATTGCACAATAGGCAGTACCATTAACGTTAAACGCTAGATTGTATATCATCATTAAACGCTTGCAGATTTGTATATCATCTATTTGTCAAACGGAATGTATTAGTCCATTGAAACATGCTATGCAATCTAGGAAAGATATGATAACAGTGGCGTGCGAGACCTTGAACAGGCTATTTTCGACTAACGAGGATAGACTTATAAAACAGGTAGATAAAACTACGAATAGCATTACTACTGTTCATTTTATAAGTCTTCAAAGTCTTAACTACGATGTTAATTGTTTTCCAGGCATTGGATGCCGAAATGGTACCATATCTATTAAATATATTAGAAGGACGATTAGACGTGATAGAGAATCCTGCGACGACCAAAGCGCAGATAGTCAAAGCTTTGAAAGCAATGACCAGAAGCTTGTTGTTAGGCGAGAAAGTGAATGCCATACTGGAGAAGTCGAGCGTCTGGGCGGAGTACAAAGATCAGCGGCACGATCTATTCATTTCTAATACGAATAATTCTGGTTACCTTACCGGTGAGATATATATTTTTATTTCGATACGTTCTCAATAAATGTATAATACAATTTATATGATCGTGCAGCTGGAACGCCGGTATCCGCTGGTTACTTGACGGCTGGCCCTAGTACAACTCTGACCACCGCTCCGCCTCCAGTTGACAAAGAAGATAGTTTAATTAATAGGAACGATAGTATCTGATACAGGTAGCATTGTAATGAAAGAGAAAAGAGATACGATAGGGAGTAAGTACGCGAATTCTGGAAACTGCTATCGGTAAGTAACTACCGATGTAAAGACTACATTGCCTGTGATTTTTGGCTCTTTAAAATAAGGGATCTATCGATCGGATAATGTTTTTTTTTTCTTTTTGTTGAATTTACATTTGTAATAAGATATATATATAACAATGATACTTTTTATTGTGCTATTACGATTATATATAATTACGCAAGATAAGTGTCATCCTCATTGCGATATTCGGCATGTGGCAAAAGATAGTATTTAATGAAAGTCTTTCGTTAGAGAACAAATTTTCTAGATAATGTCCCGCGAATAATAAGTCTCCCCAGTCGATTCTGAAAATATTATTCTAGACAACGTTTCATTTCGCGCTTACCAAATCTTCCGATACATTTTTTTTATAACTAACGCGCTGACATTCCTCATGAACAAAGGAGCACAGCTTTGCCGCTGTGTCTGAATGTGGTTAATAATTTTTGACGAAACGTTTGGATACGAAAACGCAGACATCCATACATTTAAATGTAACGTACACTTGGTCCAACTTTTGACTAATTCTCAGAGTCTCGTAATTAAACGAAGTTCTATTATTCCAGTCACCGTCGCCATTACATAAAAAACGTTAATAGTAAGTCTTAATGATATCAGTCTCCATAAACTAATCGCATTTTTCGATACGGCGAAATGTTTTCCTTTCACTCAGTGTACAAAATCATAAATAGACACTTTTTCAAATTTTAAGTGATAGACAATAGCTATGGAAAATAAAAACAAATTTTTACTGTTTCTTCGCATTAATGTTGTCATCATAAATGTTTTCTCAACGAATTTTTTATTAAAAATAAAACGAGAACTTAGAAACTACAAGCGTGAAGAAAATTTTTAAATTCTGTCTGTTTATTACTTTGGCACAATTCGTATTGTTCTCTCTACAAAACGTTATACCGCAGTTTCTTTTCATATACTTCATACGTGTACATAATCGTACTTTGTTGTATAGACCGTTTTATGTGCGCTTAAGGCCGAAAAAAAACGCTGAAAATTTCTCGGTGATACTGCACGAGGATCTGTCGAATGGAATAGGAGATTTCATTGGTAGGGAGTTCCTCTTTTTCATATCAATTTCTAGTATTTTAACGAAGCGATAATTCAACGAGGGTACGACATCTGTAAATTTAGAGATACAAAAACCAAATATGAAAAAGAAACACGTTACGCGGTGTTCTTTACTTGCCATCCATCAATAATAGTTATAACTTTTGCTATTCTGAATCGACGAGTCGAATGTCCTACAGGTAACAAAATAAATTAGAAAGAGCGTATAGTTCCACTCGTAACGGGAATAAACTTCCAAATACTGTAACTTCTATAGAAAAATCGAACGCAACAACAGTTCCTCGTCTTAAGCTCATTGCTTTTCAGCTGAATGATCCGTAGAAAAATTTCTTTTCCGTGCATTCGACTCGTCGGTTGATTATTTTTTCGAAAAACGTAAAGAGAATGCAAAGCGATTATCTAGTTAAATAAAAGTGAGACGATAGAGATCGTTTGCGCGTACTAAAAATACAAAGATTAAACGATTGGCGTGCTGTGTGTGTAATATTGTTACTGAGACAGTCGCGAGGCTGGAGGTAAATAAATACAGAAGAGCCTTAGTTATTTTTATGTATTCGCGCCTGAGTTCTTAAGGTCTCAAGAGTAAGATATTGTACATAAACATATACATAATATATATGAAAGTTATACCACAGATTATTGTACGTATAATTAGAAAATAAACGATTTTGCACATGGTACAGTTAACAGAAGGTCGACTGTAAAATTATGCAATTTTTATATTTATTAATCGTGAGTACTGCTTACTCGAGTTTGATTTTTTTAAATATTCATCATCGAAATAATGAGGAAGTAGTTCGTCGAAATTCATCGATTTTTATACAGCATTTTTACGTTAGAGGAAAGTAGAATTTACGACTCTTCCAGACGATTTGAGCAAATAAATTTTACGTACAATTCTATACTGTAATTTAAATGTCTGAACTTCAGTATCGTGTCACAGTCTTTTTACGTTATCTGGATTTCACCGCCCAGTTTTTGACGTCCGATTACAAACACATGTCGACTTCGAACCGGCTGATATAATGCTCATTTTCTACGGCACTAAATTGATCACGTATGTAATCGAGTGGTATAAAATATCAAGAGTAACGAGAGAAAGTATCATAGAAAATACATAATACACAGCTAACATATATTTTTAACTGGACGACGAATGGATAATGTGAAAATTTCAAGATAGGAAATAGCATCCAGGGTTACGATTTCCCATAACAAAATACCAAAGGACCATTTACGACGTATAAAATAAATATATTATAAGAGAATTAACGTTATTATTATTAAGAGTCAATCGAAATGCGGATATAAAGTGAATAACAAACTTACAACATCGTACTGAGGCTTATGGGCAGCTCGTCGTTTCCTCCCTCTTATAAAAATTTTCTTGCATCGCGGGTGAGGCTTATAGTCTCCCTCCAGAATTGGTCGATCTTCGTACGTGATTATTCGGGTGATCTAAGGTGATGATCCCTGATCTCGAATTCTCACTCCAAGGATCGGTCAAAGATCATATACATAAAATGAAAATGGCAAGATCTTTCCTCATCCATTTATTAATTAATTAATTAAAATTTACCCATTTTTAGCTAGAATTACTTTTCTCGACCTCATATAAACGTTATCGTACACATAATAATCCTAATGACGTCAAATACGATTAGATATATTTGAAAAAAATTTATGTATTGAGCAAACTCGATATTTACGCGCAGAACAATTTCTTTTTTTAGAATTCCGCTTCAATGTGTCATCTAAGTATTTTTAGATAGGATAATCTTGTGTCAGTTCCCGACAATGAGCTAGATATTTCTGAACTCAGTCCTTTACAACGAAATTGTTTGTTTTATGAAACGTCCAAGTGTATCGAATTCGTAGATCAGTTAAATGTGAATCCTATCAGCTATTTTAAGAAGATACGTAATTGCACCTATAGATTTGATTTCGTAACAGATTTTACATTTATACAGATAGAACATGTCCTTACTAAACTCGGTGTCAACAATTTCTCGATACATACACGAAAGAAGAATTAATGATACAACCAGAATGCGTTTAAATGATCGATTGCAGCCATACGTAAGCCCAAAGATCAAACTCAGTTCGATGGTATCATGATCGCTCTTGAGTTTCCGGTTTATCTGGCGGAGCAGCTTATTGTTAGAAAAATAGAAATCACAATGCAACGCGTGTTAAACCGCTTCTTATCTCGTGGCATTTAAGCGTTGATATCTCGCACAGGACTGCTCGTGCACAAAAGAATTCGGTCTACCGAAACATTTCCTGCATGTTTAAATCTTACTCATTTCTGATAGCGATATGACTAATTCCTGGCGATAATCGTAAAGTATAACACGACCTGAAATCTTTTTTCGCGATTGCAGTCATAGTTGACAGTCGTTCTAACACCGCGAACGTGACATACGAGCGTCTATTTCTGCCCTTGATTATTATTTAAATCAAAACAATTATTACTGCGTCGTTATAAATGTTAGATTGGTGCATATGAAGTATCATTTTCTACAAATAGATCTATAGAACTATTAATGTAGTTCGTAAAAATAATTTATCGGTTTGCACATTCCGAATGTGTCATAAATTGTAACCAGCGATGTCTATAAATTGCGAATTATTGCATCTTTAATAGATAATGAGAGAACACATGATGTCCAACTTCAGAAATAGGACGTTCCGTATGCACATAATAACAGCGTGTCCGAGTTTATTCCTATCGGGTAGTTCCAGTATGCATAACAGAATAATTGACCATGAATAAAAATTCTCGCTTTGGTTCCCACGACGGGTCCGTCGCGGCACAGAGCGAAACAATTTAAGGATGTATAGGCCTACACTTAAACAATGCTAGCATGTTGACTTTGTTATTATAGATTCCTATTACTATTAAAGTACATAAACTTTTGGGATTGACTGTATAGCCAGTACATCCTTAAATATGGGAACGTTATTACCGAGATTCTACTGTTTTGCATACAATACTTCCTCGGACTAGACATTTCGCCGAATGCGCATTGTTCCGGAGCCCTCGTCGCTCGCGAGCGTCAAAAGGGATTAACGAAATAGAAGGTTGCCACCTTAAAATTTATAATTCCGTGCTGGCGCCCGACAGTTTACGCCCACGCATCGTTCCGCACAATGCATCGCAGACAAACACGTCCACCTCGACCATTTCAGTAACTGTTGACCTCAGTTACACTAAATTGTTTCAAATAAACATAATCCTTTATTTAACTCTTCCTAAACAAACGTCTCTCTTTACGTAGCCGGACATTTACCATTCGTAACCGAATGATTCGGGGTAATAAAGATCGCAGTTGCATGAAATTCGATCCGTGCGTTGATGCGACAGGCGCAGTCTTTTGCAATGCACGGACGCTATCGAAACGACCTTCGCGATTTACATTCTCGTCGGTCTTTTCCTACGAAATCGATTTCTCAGGCAAAAACAATGCCTTTGTTCCGCTTTTCCATCAGCTGCTCCACTATTGGTTTCCTCCGAGTCGTCAGCCTTGGCAGGTACAAAAGAAGCTAAATGCCAATCCGCGACGAAGTAATTTTAACATCGACTTCCTGTTCATCGCAACGACGACCATTAAGTTAAGTCATGTTTTCTAAATCGAACAGTGTGTTTATTTGAATCACATTTTTTAAACTGATATCACAAACATTTCGCATTGTGTAAAAATTGACGGTGTCTGATCGTAATGCGTGCAGCGCAAAAATTGAACGTACAAAGCGTCGATCGCATGTCCAAATTATCAGCGTAAATACTGTATCTATCCTCGCAGTGAGCGCGCTTTATCTCTCGCGTTTGCAAACAACGCAAGCGGACCGAAACGCACGTGTGTCTCGCGACAGGCAAAGCGGGGTGTTGATTCATTTCAACTGCTCTCGCAGCTGCGACCCGGGTGCAAAGTCCAAAACTCGCCGCCCGGTATTGTTCGCAAATAGTCCGCGACGACGTATCTACAATTAATACTACCTTTCCTCCTTTGTTTAAGAAAATTCCGCGATGGTCAGCAGCCACGTGACGTTATCGCGGTCCGCTTTGTGTGCCGCCGCGAAAAGAGCACGCAACGAGTAACGAGCATATCGAGATAGCACGGCTTAGATGGTAATGCACGTGCGGCCGCACGGTTTCGCGTTTTCCGTATTTCATCGCGTTGCGAGAGTAAAGGTCGATACCCCGAGCGCTGGCTAAAAACGTGTCCGCAGATTATGTCGGACTGATAAAGTTATCGTTAACCGGCACTGCGTTGTGGAGTTAAAACTGATTCACGAGAGAAACGCGGTAGGAAGGACAAAAGAGTTAAAAATTGTCGCAGTTTATAACACGCCGTTTCGCAATCATTGTTAATAGTTCCTACGCTAAAATAGCTGTCTTTTTGTCCATATTCGAGGCAGACGTGATAAGAAAGGAAACTTCGGTTGATTGCGTCAGTGGAGCATCGCCGTTACGATTCGTACTTAAATGCGCATATGCTCGATTATCAGCGACCGCAAGCGTTGCCGCGCTCGCGGTATCTCGCGCGTCAGATGCGTTCCTTTCGACTTTTCAGTAGGAAGATCGATGCCGAGTCAGCCTCGAAAACTAGCGAACAAGGGCTTAGCCTAGATTTTCAGACCGGGGCGAAGCGAAACGAGCTTCGTGTCGTTCCCCGAATGCGCGCGTACAGCCAGATTGACCGTGCGGCACCGTTTCACGAAACGGCAATGACATTCCATGGCGTCGTATTTTTCCAATCGGGTAACGTTTCAAATGTGACTATAAGTCGAGGCCTTGGCTATAGGCAGAAGTTAGCTCAAGGACGACAACCGCCTGTCTATTCGAATTTCATCATGGTGTGAAGCTAAGCAGGTGAATGTCAGCCCCTTATTCTTCGTGCCCGTAAGAAGACATTACGCTTCTCTCAGACGCACGAAGTGGATGAGCTTGATCCCTGTAAAAATAGAAAAATAATCTAATAGGTCATGTCTATTTAGAGTCTCGAGCATCGGTCATTATAACGAAGATAATAAGCTCCTTCCAGAATTTAATTGGATAATAAGCGTGCAATAAATTTTACGACCCCTATTAACTCGAAGTAAGTCCAGGTAGTCTCATTGGAAACAATACCGTCGATCTCGGCCTGCGAGTCTTGCGCACGATGATACAATATTGCGGATAAATTTACGATGACCCATCCATCGTTCGCAACAAATGTTTTCGATTTGGAAGCAGAATTTTTATCTCTCCGGTGCGCGTGTCGGAGTTCATGGCTAATGATGCATAAAGCTAATAACGGAACGAGAAGTTGTCAATGGCAGCTCGACTCCCTTCGTGTCTTGGCCACCGGTTCGTGGCACCTGTAGGCTTCTTTGAAGCGGCGGAAACGACAGGTCGAGGAGCGTCTAGCCATCCGGAGGGAGCAGGTTTAAGGCGCGAATTTCCGACATATCAGATCGGTGAGTCAGGCGTCTCGTTAGATATGTTCCGGCTACCCCGTTCACCGCCCACACGAGCTGCCGCATGAGTCATCGACGATTCTTGGAAACGGTGCGCGCCGTTCGTTTGAAATTTTCGTTCTTGAGGGAGGCCACTGCAGACTCCTTCGAAATCAGTGCCAGGAACGAAACCACCGCCGCGATTCTGGCATTCGGCGCCGTTCGGATCTCTCGGAAAGTTTCCGCTCCAATGCCATTATCGATTACGCAATGACAATTACACGAATCGCCAATAAGAGAAAACAAGCCGCGGAATGACTTGCAACAGTAACGGGAGCCAGTCAGAGATAAAATAATAACGAAGGCAATCATTGATCCGTACTAAAATACGTATGGACATGATCGACGCTGTAGTGTTTAGAATACGCACGTGGTTACAAACAGATGTGACTAATCGATAGCGAGCGATTAGAAGACAGTCCTTAAGTAACATGGACGTATCTGTTCATCCTTGAACGTCTTTATCTGATGTAAACGATCCTTCCTGATAAGTCTAAGGTCGTCTGTTCGAATAAAACAGCGACCATAATTCCTGTGCAGCGATGTCTCTGAAGATTTGATTTACGTGCGGACAAATCGGTGTTGACAATCAGGCGTTTCATCACCGACGAGATCATCTTTTTCTTATTTCATTCGACGTTTTTTTTAACCCCAGCGAGGGGAACCTGCTTTCATCGCGAATGGGGTCGGTCCTGGCCCGAGCGACGCGAACGTCGCGGTCCAAGCGCCGCGATTGGTCGGCCGCGAATAGCTAGTGACGTCATACGCGTTCGTGGAGCCTCGCAGAGCTCAGATCGTTGAGCCGAAGACTGAACGTGCGCGAACCTCGAGGTATTCCCCACGGTATGAGTCATCGGGCGCAGTTTCACACGGTTTCGGGCAAAGGAACCTGCGATTCCTGTGTGCAGTTTTTGCGTTCTTCGTAAGAAAGTTTATCCGGCGTACGCTCCACCCGATCTCGGCCACGGTGCAATCTTGTAATTGAGGTTATAAAACATCGTGAACTCTCGGCTTCGACTTTTCCTTTCGCGCGAGGGAATCGGCTAGGTTAATCCTGTTGAACCTCAACGTAAACATGAAGCTCGACGTGTCGGACGTGCTTTACGACAGCTCGAGCGTGTCCAGCGACAGCGGAACGTCACAGAGCTCCCGCGTCAGCCATGATTTTCTCTCCAGCATCGCGAATTCATCCGTGCTACCTAGCAACGTAAGTACCGGTCCAGTTGTCTATTTTCAATTCACATAAAAATGTTCCGTCGCTGAAGAACCAGATTTCTCCTTATGAATATGCCAACTTATGCAATTCGTTCTGCGAGTGCGCCTGCACGCGTAAGTATGTGGTAGCTATCTGATAAGGCGTGCTGGTGCCGTTGCCCGAACGCAATACGAGGTTTTCACGAAAATACATATTTAACGACACGCGAACAGCCCAGCGAACACGTTATGTAACAATGATTTCTTTGAATGAATTATTTAAAATGATACGATTCGTTACTGGTGATAGTTTTATCGTACGGAGGAAACGTCGTCATTAATGGTTTTGGTAAGGACGGCGGAATACGTGCCTCGAAACCAACAATTTCCACGTATACGTTGAATTTCAGGAGGACGATAAATTCGTCGATTTCATGGAACGTAGTAATCGGAATATAAACAACGTTCTTCCACTATCTGTTAAGTTTCCGTTCTAAATTCGATTCTCTCGGAACACCGAAATCCAATTTCAAATTATGCATTCGACAAGGAAGAAACGTCATGCGCTGTCTTCTCAGGAATCGTTGTACGTATAATTAACGAATCGTGTTTGACAGTCGTTAAGAGGATACTGCAGTCTGTCACATGAGGATGGTACACATGCCGAGATCTAAATTTATAACTCGTGGCGTCATCGCTATAAATTGTTCGTCTTGCAAACGTGATTTTCGATTTTCATAATTCTCCCGCGGCTACGATAAGACCTAACTCAGCTAACAAAAGGAACCGAGAAATCGTGTGTTCGTATGCGATAATAATAGCAATTGTGCTCCGCGAAATGTGCATACTCAGATAAACAACTTTCATTCTTATCCCAACTGGTTAGGTGTCCATTTAAGGCACGCGTTGCTCGCATAAGGCTCGCCAATAAACTTCCCAGTTACTATAGAATTGTTCTCTGAAATGCGGCTTTATACATTGCTGTCCATTCATTGATCTCCGCAGATCAATGATTGTCGTTCTAATGCAGCAGCGTAGCAATGTACACATAGAATTCCTTACAATAGACTTTCAGTAGCTACTAGATACAGTTTATAAATTATATTAGCTAATCGTATGAAATGTGCGAATAGAATATACGCGTCTTGTTTATAGTTTTATTTTAAAAAA